CAAAAAATATAATGGGACAGATTATTAAGGCAGTAGTTCTATCTCATCTGGATTATTGCTCAGTGGTTTGGTCCAGTGCTTTCATGACTCAGATGAAAAAGTTGTTCTGAATAAAGCAGCACGTTGTACATTTCGATGCTCATATAGAACAAATGTAAATACAATGTATAGCTATTTAACCTGGCTAAAGGTAAATATAGATATTATGCCTCTTTGCTTCATTTTCTAAAAGAGATTTCAGTTACTAAATTACCAAGAATATTATATAGTCAGCTATGTTGGAGCTCAGATGTGCATGACTATTATACCAGGCATGCTACTGAGGGTAGGTTTACACTACTCAAACAAAAACCAGTATGATGAAGAACACTGTAATGTATAGACACATGGTTGCATGGAACACTCTGCCAGAGCATATTATTCAGGAGAGCAGTAAAAATAGTTTTAAAATGTCATTGAAACAACATCTGGCAAACAGCTTTCCTCATCCAAGGACGCTTAGATTCTAGATAGTGCAATGTAATGTCTAGATAATATGTATATATATATATATATATATATATATATAATATATATATATTATATATATATATATATATATATATATATATATTTTCTGTTTGTTCTGTTGAGTGATCTTTAATGATGAGAGCTGGGTTATGTAGTATGTTGTGCTCGTTCATTTGTCACTTCTCTTTTAACTTCTAATAAACTAGAAGACTATTCAGTTACAGTTTATTATCATTCTTATTAAATTATTATTATTATTCCTTCTTCTACGGATGCATTTAATCTAGTGATGGGCGTCTACACTGCCAGAATTATACAAGCAGAAGAAGAACGCCATGATTACGAAATGCGCTCTGTTGCGCTGTTTGTCCATTTTGGGCTACTGTAGAAACATGACGATAAAATACAGCAACCTCCATAGAAAGGGGGTGCCCTCTGTTATGTAGATAAAATGTCTCATTCTAAGGTAATAAAAACATAATGGTTCATCATTTTTATGGATATTATATTGTATTTCTGTCAATAGATCCTCAAATATTACACACTGAACATTTTAAAAACAAAAAATTAAAATGACATACCACACAGGTTTTGCAACATTAGAATAAGGCTCTGGTCATATTTCTGAAAGTATTTAATAAACCAGCCACATGTCAGTGTAAATATGTAATCTGCACTGATACAGATCCAGAACACTGAAACTGTTTATACAGTGTACTGTTCATTTTATTAAATGCTTGAATTGAAAAGGCCCTCTTCTCATATTGGTGCAGTTATGCTGGGAATCCCGTCTCTAAAGAAGAACATACATGCTACATGTAACCATTGACTGCATAAAGGATGTAACACATTACTGGAGTAAAAGAAAGGGGACATAAAATGAATCACTCTGTCCTCCATTTGGCTGCAGAGTAACTCTGCTGACAACTGATGGTTTAAAACAAACTCACACATTATGAGAATCAACATGACTTCCTGGAAATAAGCTTTATTTAACCACTCAGTCACGTGGTAACTTTTAGTAACTGGTGCACTCTGATCTGTGTTATTTATTGTGTTTTCAGTTACAGGGTAGGATTTTGTGTTTTGTCTTTGTTGTTCTTACATATTCTTAATATCTGAACATGAGAAGCTTCACACATGTTCTGTTTACTAAAGCAGTGCTCAGATATGTTTCATCAGGGAAACATGTCAGTAAGACTCTAAAATAAAAGTACTTATTGCCATGAAAGGCTCTTTTGATGTTTGAAGGTGATGCCTGATGTGTTTTCTTTATCTCATCATGAAAGTGAAGTCTATAAATGTGGTGCAGTAAAGTAAGCCTATGAAGTCCCTCAAAATAATTTAATCTTCCCAAAGTTTAACTGTCTGCACTGTGAGAGAGTAGTAGGCCTACTCATTTATCACAATTACAAGTTAAATTTACTCTTATCACTGTAATAAAGTCGGGTCATGTGAAGCTACTTTTGAGTATATTTAAATATTAGTCATTTTACTTTTACTTAAAGGTCCAGTGTGTAATATTTAGGAGGAATGTAATATAATAAACAGTGGTGTATAAAGACCTTACAGCTGATACACATGACAATATGTGAATGTGAAGAACCGGCAACTATTGTTTTCACTTAAACCACTGTTTTCAACATTACTGTTGCTGTTTTGTAGAGCACATTGAAGTGTGCTTAGCTGTCACAACCTGCACCCACAGTGGATAAATCTTATTTTCTGTAAGATATTTGCATCACATTAAACCAGTTTCAATGTTAGTTCACCTTCCATAGCCCTTTTATATAATTACTCATGAAATAATCTTAAAGTTTATTTGCATGTAATGCCCTAGTTCAGCTTTCTTGGAAATCACCTGACATACTTCCTGCTCCCTCGTTTGGGCAGGACAACAGCTACAGAACAGGAAGAAGATCTTTCTGATTAGCTGCTGCAGCTCTGCTGTGAAGGCTGCAGTAACATCATACATACAACAGCATAAAATCCAGGTGTCAGAAATAAAAACAGATGTGACAATAGACCTCTCAACATACCTATTTTTTTATGATTTGTATCTAGAGCTGCTGTGTACAAGTAAATTTCCCCAGTGTGGGATGAAGTCTATCTTATCTTACATATTTGAGTTCTATTTCAGTCCCTGGGGTTTGGTTGCCAGATGTATATTATTTTTATGTCCTTACACCGGTAATAAATTTTATATAGATATGAGCAACACATTGGACCTTAGCGCTACTTTTGACACCATTGATCACAACATCATGTTAGACAGACTGAGGCACTGGGTGGGGATCTCTGGTACTGCCCTAGAATGGTTTTCATCCTACCTGTCAAATAGGAAGTTTTGTGTGTCTGTAAACAACTATGTCTCCTCGTTCTGTCCAGTTAAATATGGTGTGCCTCAGGGGTCGATCTTAGGACCCATTTTGTTTTCCTTGTATCTGCTTCCCCTTGGACATATTATCCATAAACATGGCATTTCTTTTCATATTTATGCTGATGACACACAAATATACTTGCCCGTCAGATCCACAGACCCTGGAATGCTGAGTTCACTTAACAACTGCCTTTGTGAAGTTAAAAAAATGGATGTCAAATAATTTCCTCCAGCTGAACTCAGTCAAAACAGAAATCCTGGTCATCGGGTCTCAGCAGATGGCATCTGCTGGTTAGCTGGTAAATCACATTAAGCCTGTGGCAAAGAACCTTGGTGTTTGGTTTGATAGTAATTTAAATTTCGAGCAGCACACCACAAAGCTTGTCCAATCATGTTTTTATCAACTTAGAAATATAGCTAAAATTCGATCTATTTTAACTTTTAAGGACAACAAGACCATTTTACACACCTTCATCTCATCACGCCTGGATTATTGCAACAGCCTTTTCACCTGTTTAACTCAAAAATCTATTGATCGACTCCAGACTATCCAGAACTCAGCTGCCAGGCTTTTAACCAGAACAAAGAAATATGACCACATTACTCCTATTTTAGCTTCATTACACTGGCTCCCAGTATGTTTTAGAATTGACTTTAAAATTCTATTGATCACTTTTAAAGCTCTTCATGGCCTCTCGCCTTGTTATATTTCTGACCTTTTAGTCCCATACACACCAGCACGTTCCTTGAGATCCTCGGGCAGAGGTCTGTTGTCTGTTCCAAAGTCTCGACTGAAAACTAAAGGGGACAGACCGTTTGCTGTAAGGACCCCGAGGCTCTGGAACAGCCTGCCCGAGGAAATCAGGTCGGCTGAGTCAGTGAACTCTTTTAAGTCCCTTCTTAAAACATACTTTTATAGGAGAGCCTTTCCCGATCTTATTTGACTTTATTTTATCCCTTTTATTTTATTCCATTTTACTAATTTTATATTTATCTGTATCTTAGTCTTTTCAATGTTTTCATGCTTTTATCTTGTATTGTTTTTGTGTATTATTGTCTCTTGGGTTTTATTGTCTTTACACTTGTTAAAGCACTTTGTAACTTGTTTTTGAAAAGTGCTCTACAAATAAGGATTATTATTATTATTATTATTGCTTTATATGTGTCATGGTTACGGCTTGCTTGTTGCCCAGATCTGGCAAACAGGAGTGGATTGCCCAAGTGCCATCATTCCAAGCGGTAAGTGGGCCAGATTAAAGTATCAGGGCCACAGTAATTTTTTTATCTGGGGAAGAAAGGGGAAATATACTGCTTTAGAATTCATTATTTAATTTTGCACATAACAGAAAATCATGCGATTATTGTTTTATTTGAATGTCAGTATGTCTGACACACACAGTATTGATTATTTGTTTTATTATTTAATGGTAGTGTAAGACCTGGAGGCTTCTCTGTGGGCCCTCCCTTGAGGCCTCCAGGAGAGCCACATGTCTGACACCACTGTGACGATGCAAGACAAACACAAACACACGCTAATATTCAGATGCACATTTCACCTATTTCACATTTCACATATTGCATTCCACCCACATTTATGTTACAACTGACAACCAGACTATGAGGTGAATTATAACATTTTACTTCTTGTGTTTGAGTCTAAATGCATTTTCTGTCTGTGTTGCAGAGAAAACACATAATTTATTAGCAAACACACCTGACAAATTTGTGTCACATTTTGAAGGCTCTGGCTTAAAAGAGCTCCAAGGTACAGACAGAAACGTCAAAAATGTTTCAACTCATAATGCAAACTACATATTTTTTCTCAAATCACTCCCAACATTTTTAACATGACTTTTGTTGTTTTTAGAGCACATTAAAGTTTGCTTTGCAGTAACAACTGTCATAATAATATAACATAATTCCTCTTTTCTGTTGGAAGTTTGCATGACATTATAGTGTTCATGTTATTATGTGCACATTCTGTAGCACTTTAATGTCATTAGTCATCAAACAATCTTGTAGTTTATATATTTTTGTTGTTGTTTTGGCCTATATGCGTGTAATGCAGTAAACAGTTCAGCTTTCTTTGAAATCATGTGACACATTTCCTCCTCGCTTGTTTGGGCGGGTCTACTGTAAAAACAAAAAACTATACAACAGGAAGAAGAACCCAGTCTGCGCTCTGCTGTCATGGTCGCTTTAACATCAGCGCCATTCGTGGCTTTGTTCGCTTGTTCATGGATCTTTGTTCTGTGTCAAGGTAAGAGGAGTGTGTGTGTTGGACTGTGGCGATTCATTGACATCAACGCCATCGATTATGAAAATACGTTGATTTGCATGACTTGGCCTGGACAACAAGCCGCCACCTTTGGCATTACGGGCTTTGCCCATAGAGCCGTATGTGAGCAGGAAGTGATTGAGTGGCGTGTCTGCTCTATAAAACGTCTCTGATATTACACAGAGGTGAAATAAATCCATGTCAGAAACATTTAAAGTTTAAATAAAGTTCTGACGGTCTGTTATTATTATTATTATTATTACTAATATTGTAACACAGCAGTGATGCGGAAGTTAGACTATGTGAGAAGTAGATCAGCAGGAAGTTGATGGATAAATTATCTTTGATTATGTTGATTTATAGATTTATCTTCTGCTGAATGATCATTAGGAGAGAGATGTGTGGAACTTATAAACTTATTTACTTACAACTGTTTATTAATTATATGTATGGCTGGGGGGGGGTATTGTGCTGTGTTTCACGGTACATGTAGTGATGCAAGTTCCTAATGGATAAATAAAGTTATTTGAATTGAATTGAAACTTCCTGTATCACCTTCATTTACTGACTTAAGAACTTTCTTAAAAACTGTAGTCTGAACAGTTTATACAGCAATTACTCCTGAAAACTGTCTGTTGTTGTAACTCATATTTTCAATTCTATTTACAACATATTCATTATAATTATATTCTAATATAGTTTTTTGTAGACTTTGACTCTGCAGGCTGCTGGATATGTTTGTAAAGTTTATTATGAGCTGACTTGTGAACAGAGTCTCCACCTCTGACCTCTGTTCCTGTCCAGCACTGTAGTTTACTGTGTGGACGGATGGACAGCAGAGACCAACATGTGTCCTCTCCCCTCTCGTGGTGTCTGTCCATGCAGATCCAGCAGCTTCATTTGTCTCTCTGAGAAGTAAAGCAGTTTCATACTGTAGGGACTCTTTCCTCAGTAGAAGTAGTTCAGACACAGTCTGAGTAGAGGACGGACAGACTGGGGACACATTTGGAAAACAAGGACAAAGATTCAAAGCTTCTAGGAAATAATAAACTTCACATGTTTAATATTTCAGCTGTTTGTTCAGGCTCAGAAATGCTGATGTCTGTATTCAGATGGGAAATAATATCAATAATCAATAATCTCCAAACAAGCAGAAAGCAGATGAAAGTAAAATGTCTCCTGTCTGATGGTGCGGAGGACGACTTGACTGACAGCTGTAGAAATGAGCAACATGAAGTCAGCGTGCAGCTGCAGCAGAGGAGTTAGTCTCTCCTTTCTGCAGCTGGGACTCAAGTTGTCTGAGAACAGGGTTTGAAATGCTGCTGAGTTCACATGTGCTGTTTTATAGAGACCTGATCTCTGCTGCTTCCATCAAAAGATGTTTGAACAACAGGAAACATTACAAGTCCTGACTGGAGGCTTTTCTCTTTCTGTTCAGAAACACAGGAGGTGACAGTGAAGCCTGGAGAGGACGCCACTCTTCCCTGTCGGGGTCACAGAGGTGCTACCATAGAAGTGATAAAGTGGATCAGAACTGACCCGAAGTCAGGTGATGGTTATGTCTTCTTCTTCAGAGACGGCCGCTCATATGAAAACTACCAGCATGAATCTTTTTGTGGTCGAGTGGAGCTGAGAGATCCAGAGATGAAGGACGGAGACGCTTCTGTGATTCTGAAGAACGTCAACATCAACGATGCTGGAACATATGAGTGTCGGGTTAGAGAGGAAAATACATCTGAACTCACCGGCATCGTCAGGCTGACAGTGAAAGTGACAGGTGAGCGTGTAGAGCTCAGAGTGTCTCTTTGTCTCTCAGGTGAGCGTGTAGAGCTCAGAGTGTCTCTTTGTCTCTCAGGTGAGTGTGTAGAGCTCAGAGTGTCTCTTTGTCTCTCAGGTCAGCGTGTAGAGCTCAGAGTGTCTCTTTGTCTCTCAGGTGAGCGTGTAGAGCTCAGAGTGTCTCTTTGTCTCTCAGGTGAGCGTGTAGAGCTCAGAGTGTCTCTTTGTCTCTCAGGTGAGTGTGTAGAGCTCAGAGTGTCTCTTTGTCTCTCAGGTCAGCGTGTAGAGCTCAGAGTGTCTCTTTGTCTCTCAGGTGAGCGTGTAGAGCTCAGAGTGTCTCTTTGTCTCTCAGGTGAGCGTGTAGAGCTCAGAGTGTCTCTTTGTCTCTCAGGTCAGCATGTAGAGCTCAGAGTGTCTCTTTGTCTCTCAGGTGAGCGTGTTGAGCTCAGAGTGTCTCTTTGTCTCTCAGGTGAAGCTGCTTCCTGGTAGTTGAGCTGAGAAACATCACAGATCAGATGTTTGTGTTTTAGAAAGATGTTGCTGATGAGACTTTAGAGGAAACAGCTGCTACGAGTCATGTGATCAAAGTGCAGTAGATAATGTCTGACATTCTGTTCACCTGCTGACAGCTGATAACTCACACCTGTTTCTGCTCTGCAGGTCACACAGCTGGACACAAGGAGGGAGGAGACAAGGAGGGAGGAGACAAGGAGGGAGGAAACAAGGAGGAAGGAGACGGGGAGGGAAATGTTGGACTGAGAGTCGGTCTGCCAGTTTCTGTGATTCTTCTTCTTCTTCTTCTTGGTGTTGGTGGTTTTGTGATCTTTAAAGAATATAACAGACGCACAGGGTATCAACAACCTGCTATAAACAGACATGAACTGCAGAACCTGCAGAGAGATTAACAGACCAGAGGCAGCAGATGAGAATTAGTGAGGATCCAGACTGAACTCACTCTGGTTACTGTGGGGAGCACTGATTGGTCGTTACTCTCTGGCTGCTGATTGGTGGACTGAACGTGCTGCTGGACAGAAGAAACACATTCCTCCTGTAAAATAAACCTGAGCTGTTGACATACGTCTGATTTCACCTGGAGGCAGGTTAATGCCAGATGGGCTGACTGACCAGCAGCTCTGTGGGACAAACAATATGACCTGATGCTGGAACAGCCAGCTGATTGTTAATTACAGGAAGTGGTACAGACCGTCGGCACCTCCCCCACCCCTTCAAGTGGATCCATCCATCCAGGTAGAGTCAGAGGTCAAATCAAATTAAACGGGTAAAGGACCAAAAAGTGAAAAGTTCAGAGAGAAAAAGAATCATAATCTCAGGTCTGAAGCTGCAAAATGTTTTAAATCAACAGTGACTGATGTCAGTGCCGCTCAACATCCTGCTAGCTGCTGTTATAACACTAACAGTCTGTTCTGGATGACGGAGCTGGACTTTGTTCCCAGACCGACCCTGAAGAGCTCAGTCCCTGTTGTTCACTCACCGACCTGCATCAGCCTCGGTGAACACATCTAAATTTGACGTCTGTCGCCACTGTGGTGTTTTGAAGAGTGGGTGCGGTGGTGCTTGCGTGGATATTTAGTCTAAGTTTCTAACAGGGCCGTGTCGACTTTGTAGCCGCGTGTGAGCAAGGTAACCCCTGGCAGTGGCAAATATCTTTGGTTTAATGTTTGATTTGATTACATTAATGTTTCAGTTGAGATTTACAAGAAATATTTTATTGCTACTGTGTAAAGGGAATTGACCCATCCACCATTGTGTCCCTGAGCAAGACACTTAACCCCTCGTTGCTCCAGAGGCGTGCGACCTCTGACATGTAGAGCAATTGTAAGTCGCTTTGGATAAAAGCGTCAGCTAAATGAATAAATGTAAATGTTCCACCTACGTGTCTTTACTAACGTGTCAAACTAAAAGCCTTCACAGAGTCATGTAATTGTGACTTCATGACATTTCATAAAAATCTGAAACAGCGGCTGCGATCATTTTACAAAGTACACAGAGGAAACCCTGCTGAAGGGAACCTTGTTCTGAGTCCTGGCATGAGAACGTGTTGTTTCCTTCTTAAAGCAGAAAGTCAGAGTTTGAAGCTCCTGATCAGAGTTCAACAGCAGCTGAAACATTTGGGATTTAATCTTCATCATGGAGAAATACTGCAGACTGTATCATGAGGGAGGAGACGAGTTTATCCTGCTGCTGCTCACAGACACAAAGTTAAACCTGCTTTTAATTTACATTTATTTTGTGGAGTCAGGAAGAGAAAACAGTGTAGCTTTCAAACTGAAGTACAGCAAGATAGTTTCCTGCTTCAGGTCTTCACCTGAGCCAACTGAACAAAGAAACAGGTTTTATTAGAGATCACTCTGCAATGATTCTCAGGAAACAAAACAGAAAGTTGGGATTCAGAGGCTTTCTGCAGTTTGAAGCTAATTTAAGCTAAAAATAAAAAAAATTATAAAGCAGGACGTGTTTATTTACCACAACAGCGGAGCAGCCACCTCGTGTCCTCCATCTTTACTGAGCAGCAGATCACAGAGCAGCTTGAATTCCAGCACTCTGCACTTCTCGCACTACATTTACAGAAAACTTTGACTTTTATAGCCATTATGTTGCTTTATGTTTGCATAGGTGCTTCTATTTTTTAGCTACTTTTAATAGTTCTGTTTATTTTTTAACTTATTTGTTCAGCTTTGTTGTTTTTAGCTGCAGTCTAATATGTCTTCATACCCACTGCCTCTTCATTTCTACTCTCCTTCAAATTAAAAGCCTCCAGTTTTCTCCTTTCGTCTCCTCTCGCTGTGACCTTTAGGACTAAACATTTTGATTTGAAGAGGCAGCTGCAAAAATCTGCTTAAGGATCTTTGCCTGCTTTTGTTTTAGAACATTTATCACCGTGTGTATGAGTCTTTTCCCAGATGAACCTGACTGTGACGAAGCACCTGTGCTGCCCCCTGCTGGCTGTCTGACTGCATGTTTAAATGAAGCTTACAAAGTGCATCTCATCCCCTGATTGGCTAAATGTTAAAATCATCAGTCAGTGATTGGCTCAGCTGCTGTACTGACTGCTGACAGACAGAACAAACAGGAAGCTGCTGCAGCATTTCTCCATCAGCCACAATGATTTGTATTTAATGAGGACCAGTTAGTGAGCAGTAAACCAGCAGCTGGACATCAGTGGTTGGACTGGTTTGAAGGTGTGAAGCTCGACCTCAGTGAAGAGCAGACGACCTCTGGCTCTGCTGGAAACTCTGAACACACAAACAATGTTCTGCTTGGAAATGAAATGAATGATGTTTTTTGCTTAATTTAGCTTGTGTGTGTTTTTTTCAAACACACTCTGACAAACACACACCAAGACAAGCCCCACACACTCTTTAGCTACACTGATACAAGATGAAATAAACCATTTGGAAGATATCCCTTCTCTTCCTGAGTCTTTAACTAGAATCAGGCTCCGTATTGGACCACCGGGATTTAGATTCCTCCTCAACAGTAGTTCTGCAGGTATTTGGTCATAAACCAAAGTATTGCGCAAATTAAAATGTTGACCTGATGATGACGCTAGAGGAAAAGTCAGAGGATCAGCCAGCGTGATATTACAGTTTGTCCTGAGGGAAACATGAATGTCCGTGTCTTTATCACAAACGTAGCTAGCTAGCTAGCTAGCGCTTCCACAAATAACTACGCTTTGTCACTCTTTCTCAAATCGTTGGTATATGACGCCCTGTGATGAGAACGGGCTCAAATGTCTCCCACTACTCAGGCACATAAAATGACACAGACCTCACACTGCATAAAAAAGTTAATAATAAAGTTTGTGTTTCTTGCCTTTGAGTCCAAAGTCATCTGAATCTGGTCTTCTCCTCTGGAAAGGTCCAATATTACATTTTTCGCGATCTGCTTGGATCCCCATCCCCATCAATTATCAAACTTGGCAGTGAGGCTACACTAGAGTTTCATGTCTTATCTGTCTTCGCTCTGCAGTGATGTATCAGATCAGTCCGACCAGCTGCAGCGTCTAATCATATAATGGCTACCTAGTAAGGGGCGTGTCGGTCACTTCTTAATTGTAGACACTGACAATGAACTCCAGGATGTAGCTGTTCACAAATACTGTACAGCAGGGGTTTTCAAAGTGTGAGACGGGGCTCCCCAGGGGCCTCCAAACAGTTTCAGGGGAGGCTCAGTGAATGGAAGTGAAACAATATTACATTAGTTATTATGTTAGTTATCAAAATGAGATCACATAGAATAGAATAGAGATACAATAGAACTGTTTTTCCCACGTGACAAGTCAGAAACTAATAAATGCCTTAGGACTGACCTTTTTAATGTATTTGGTCTGAAGTTATGTCAAAACAGTGTAAATCAAGTGTTGAGTGTCTGTGAGATCAAATACCAAAATCATGATCCCACAGGCATCCAGGAATTGAGCGAAACTAAACAAGTAAACTGGGGGCACATTTTCCCAAACTTTGTCTGAGGGGAGGCCTCACGCTCAAACCCCTGCGGTACAGTGTGTAGCCTAAGCAACAATCTTTGTCTAATAGTGACTTAGACCATTGAACGGGTCACCATTGCAAACATGGCAACAATCTCCCCCAGCGTGCACAGCTTCTCTCTGGGCAGATGTTTCACCCAGCTGCTATTCATTGTTAATGTTAATGAGCCCATTCACAAGGCCACATACAACAAAAGTGAAATGACATTAAGGGAATTAGGTTAGAACAGAGACTTACGAGGCGCCATACAAAGAGTGAAGGACAAAGAGTTTGATGGCGCATTTGATCATCTCAAATAACTAATACAACTTCTGAATACAAAAGAAAACTGCTCCTGCTCCTGTTGTTTACTCCAGCAGTGTGTCACGCCTCTTTTACACATCATGGCTGCTGAAAAGACTTTCGTAAAGGATACAGCAGTAAATCCTCCCCTGCAGGCTTCCTCGATCGTCGAGGTGAATTTTAAGAATAGAGATGTCCTTCAAGATGTCGCAGTGGGATCGATTTCCAGGGTGTCAATTTCTCTTTAGTGAGTCTTCTGAAACAAAGAATTTAAGGGTTTTATTCTTGCAAAGGCTCAGACAGACATTCAGAGTGCAACCAGTGTGCAGAGATTGAGACAAAGAGACAGTGATGAAACAGGTGACTTTATACTCTGATGTTATCCTGCAGCTGTCTCAGGGAGGGAGGGAGTAGAAACCAACTGTGATGAAGGTCTACCAAACAGATAAGAAACCCTCTAATGAGCTGCTTTCCTATGTGAACTGTGAAACCTAACTACAACATAATAAAGCATTAAGCACCACACAGTGAAACACAGGCCTGTAATAGTACAGCATATAAAGGTAAAACAGTAAAACTCACAGGGGTCACAGGCAGGAGGACGGAGGATCAAGGAGGCACAAAACAGTGAAAGGCCTTTGATGATTACTGGATTACAAGAATGGGGACTCGAGACGAGTCACTCTGTCATCCTGTTTTAACTCTGCCGCCATCTGCTGGTTTAAAACAAACATTCAGAGAATCACAGGTTCTGTTTACTGCCAGCAGTGCTCAGATATATTTGATCAGGGAAACATGCCACTTAGATTTAAAAGTAAAATAACTTTCAACACAGTTATATTGAAAATGAGCCCATGTTGATCACGTGGCAATAAATAAATGAGAACTGAAAATGAGTCCAACCTGCATCCCAAGAGAAGTTTGTTAGCTGAGTTGATAACACGTAGCACCGTGCTATAAACTGTGTGAACACTGTTTTAGGAGGTGACTGCATCAGATGTTGTATGTAAATGCTCCGTATGTGTATAGATTTATTTCTAGTCTTTTTCGACCCCCCCCCCTGAAAGCGGTTTCACATTACATCTGCATTCACACACACATACACATTCACACGCTGGTGGAACAGCCACCAGAGGCAATTCGGGGTTCAGTATCTTGCCCAAGGACACTCTGACATGCAGCCTGGGGGAGCTGGGGATTGAACCGCCGACCTTCTGATTTAACAGGCAATCAGCTCTACCTCCTGGGCCACAGTCGAGACATAAGACAGTGAGAGGTCCTGAGTGACGCTGATGTTTCCTTCTGAAGAAATGAACATATAAAGAATTAACAACAAACAGTTGTCTTTGTGATATTTATTAATGTAAGAAAAACACCAGTAAACACTCCAACTGGGGCAGAGACCTCAGACACCCAACAGGATTAGAGAGTCCAGCCAAGAGAAAAGACAAATGAAACATTTAACAGGGAAAGACATTGTGGAGTCTATGAGAAAAGCCTTGAC